ACGTACGCCACGATCGGATGGATGGATGGATGGATGGATGGACGATTCACGGTTTACCAATAAAACCAACCATTCAAAGCCTCGCCCCACTCATCATCATTCACTCCGTAGATATGCTGTGATTTTTTTTGGGCTGGACGGTATACTTCGCTAGTTAGGACAGGACATGCTATGACCAAGCTAACTATGTCAAGCCATGGTAAAGTGCAGGTAATTAAGTCACATCTTGAGAGTATCGTGCTTATGAAGTGATGTAAAGCTAGAACCGGGCTAAAGCATGCTAGCTGATGAGCTAACTCAACTATGCTAATTAACGCGACGTTAATCAAGAGCACACGAAGCAAAAACAATTCTAATTCGACATCATTATTATGACAGCAATTAGTATCATGCTAATCAGTACTATGTTTAATAGCCCCATGCTGGTCATGGTCATGCTAATTGCGCCCAAGATAATTGGCTTTTAAGTGAAGCCTTATTAATATATACAAGACAGCTCAGTGTAATGGTCGTTAAGCCTCAGCCAATTAGTTCAATAAAATTAATACAGAACTGATGTGGTCTTCACTCTGAAGTCGACCACGCATATTAGTAGACGAACAACTCAAAAATTTGCAAAAATCTATGATATCACTAACTCCTCTATGGCTCCAGCCTTGCGCAAGTAGTATAAGCCCACCAATTTTTTTTATATGCACCTGAAAGGGGAGGAGGATCTTTCTGCTAATTAAAAAAAGTTTGTTCATCATCATGTGCAAAGAAGCTGGCACTTGCGTTCACCGCATCAAACGCTTGAGAGTAATACCGGTACCATCACAGTCACGAGTTGAACTCGGGCCTTCTCAGAATCAACAAGTTTGTATCTGAGTTCACGTGTCAATCAATTTGATTTACAGACGGCCGCGGCGAAGATTGGGTCACATTTGCTCACACACCACCACATTTGCTCTTGCCGAGGAGCAGTACTCACGTAGAGTGACACGATTAATCTATCAGCTTTATCACGAAAGCTATGCTCCCGCAGATGCTGAAGTAGAAGCGATATTACTGCGTGGCCGCGATATCTCGCATTCCCTTTCAACACGTTCACGATGTATCTAATCACAGCCGCGTTGCCGCCATGATGTGAGTGCCCCTTGTGACCACCTGTCCTTATATTTATCTGCAACATTTTATAAAAGTGAAACGAGCAGCACGAGAGTGCTGTGTGTGCACCCTTGCTGCCTTCGAGAAGGAAATTTCCGTGCTACAGGTGGAACAAAAGAACCTGTCCGAAAGAGGACAAACGCCCACGAACACGCCTGCAAGATGTGAGTGTTGAGTTGGCAAAAAGATAGCGCGGCAATCACGCTGACGTCGCTGCACTGTTAAAATGTTGACTGAGTGGCGCTACGGACGTGTTCGCAAGCAGTGTTTCTTTGATAACTGCCGCAGATGTCCCACGTGCGTTTTCAATGCCACGCACGTTCCTGTAGCCGTTTTTATCAACGCTGCTATCCCACCCTCTGCACTGTCTTCATGCCATGGCCACCGCGAGTGAGCTCGGAGCTGACACGTCTGCCCGAGAAGCTCGGGGCATCCTGCATATCACCCTTGGTCAAATTTTCTGCAGTCGTTCTCTACAGAACCCCATCATATCATGATGTGGGCACGTAAATACCGTGCTATTGTGATTTCTGCAAAATTTTGAAGTCTAGAGAAAAGTACGCCGTGGTGGTGTAGTTGTTACACTCTAAGGCAAAATTACCGGAAAAAAAGAGTAACGTAGCCCAATAGGTGCGCGCTATGAACAGATAGACCGTTGAAGAGCAACCGCAGAGAGAAGCGTGCCGCGCGAAACCAAGGGATGAACCGCCCGGGGATTGCAGGAAGCGCAAAAAACGTTACCAAAGTGACCAGCCCTCCCTCTCCTCCTCTGCTGGCTCAGTCTTTCCCCGTATTTTGCCGGTGATGGTTCGCGTTGCGTTGCGCTCGGAGTGCTCGACCATGGCCACCTGGATTCGACCATCTAAGAATTACGACGTGGTGCTTGTGTGTACGCTTGGATGAGCGTGCGCTACTGCTTTTACGTTTCACCGCACCCATGAAGTCCGGAGCAGGTCTCGACACGTCACCACGCCACGCTGTATATCTCTGGCTTCAAGATAGTCACGACCAACACACGACAGCAACAGTTGGGAAGATCAACATGGCGGCCGAGAAGACAGCCGGCCTCTCGGATACATTACTTCAGTCCGACTCAGGGCAGAAGTCAGCGCTGGATTCTTTCGCAAGTAGGTGATCATTCTCTATTCTACTCTACTTGTCATGTGTGCGATATGGATCACGCTTGCCGGCAACGGGCTTGGTCGTGTCGTATATCGCATGCACGAAATGCACCACGAAGGTCCGCTTGGGCGTCTGCAGTTCGCCTGTGCTTTGCGACCGCCTGGAAATTGGCCGCCATTGCCGTCGGCCTCCCGTACGCTCGCTCATCGAGTATCGCCTGTCTTTGCCGCCGCGATGAGCTCCGGGCTCACGATATTGGTCTGAGACCTCATCGCTGTGTTAGGAGTTGTCGAAAACACGTTGCGGTTTCTCGTAACGAGCTTGGTTGTAGTATGTCGCACACTGTAAGTGCACCAGCACGGGTTGGCGAAACTTTCGCTAGCATCAGATCTCAGCGAAAATTGGTCGCCACTACAGGTGGCTTCCCCGTCAGTCGGTCGTAAGCAGCTCGGCGCCGTCCGTTGGCAACGGCAGTGGACTCTCGTTTGCCCGCTGCACTCGCACTCCTTCGAGTTTGTGGAAAAGGGCCGCATTATCGTCGATTTCTTGGGCGCTAGCTCCAAACCAGCTCGGCGCTGTTCGTGGCGGCGGCCAAGCGTACAAAGTAGTTCTAAGAGAGAAAGGAAGAGAAAAGTGAGCCCCGTAACTGTCTGCTTCAGCGAGCGAGACACCTCAACAATAGCTCACAATGAATGGGGGTGAGGAGAGATTAAAAGGATAGGAATAAAGGTATAGAGAGAGAGAAAGAGGCAGGAGGTGGTGAGCCAGAGACCGACGACATATCGAGGGAATCGGAGAGATCGGAAAGATGGAAAACGGTCGCAGGAGTCCGAGGACGGGGCACCACTTGCGAGAGCTCTTGTCGGCGTCAGGAGGTGGCGTAGAGCAAGTCCAGTCGGTCATAGCTACACTGTCGTCGGAGGTCGGCGTCAGGAGATGACGTTGGGCGAGCCCAGTCGGCCAGAGCTACGCTGACGTCGGAGATCGCGAGCGCACAACCGGTCGGCACGGAATCCAATGAGCGAGTCCCGCGGCCAAGCGTACTCTCGCTCTCCTGTTCGAAGTTCGCTGGCGGCAGACACTCCGCGTGCAGCGCCGTGTTTGATCTTGCGTTCGCTTGCTCGAGCTGAACGACGTCGCTCGCTTAGAACTCGCTGACTTGTTGGCGGCACGGTGGTTCGCGGAGTTGTGGCTGTGGCCGCCGCTCCTAAGCTGTTGCGCTACGGGGATCGATATGAGTCTTTGACGATGTGTGACATCACGGTGAAATTATTAGCATGTCATATTTCACGTATGTTTTTATTTCACCTTGTGCGTATTTCTCATGTGCATTCGTAATTATCCTCTGTCACGTGTCACTCACTATTTTACATACTTATTGCGCAGCCGTGGGTGCACACCATGCTGAAGGCTGTGTGCGCTGGCGTCTGCGACACCTGTCATCCATCGCTTTCGTCAGAGCAGCTTCAGAAGGACTGTAGGAGTTGTGAAGGTAAAGTTATTTGTGTGTCATATTTTACACGCATGTTTTTCTATTAACATGCGTGTACTTATCATATGCGTGCATCTTCATCTTCTATCACGTGTGTCTAACTATTTTTACTATAGTATTGTACATGCAGCCGTGGGAATACAACAGGCAGAAGTATGCGTGCGCTGGCGTCTGCAATGCCTGTCATCTTGCTTCCGTCGGAGGAGCTCCACAAGGGGTGAACAAGATGTGATCGACAACGAGACTGGACTTGTACATTTCACCATGAATTCACTTAAAAGAATGGAGAAACTTCGTGTGTGTGTAGAAAGATAAAAGCTTTCGATTTCTCGCTTTTGTCTTTCGTTGTTGCAGTGACTGCGACAGCAGTTACACATAGGTGGCTAACTACTTTTTCGCGTGTTCTTTTTTGCGCTATTTGTTGCTCACTGCGCAGCAAAACAGGCGAAAAAAGTATTAGGCCTGGCGGAAAATAAAGAAAAAACAATGTTTGAAGTGGGGATAAGAAGTTTATTTGATTGGAGTATTTGAGTGGTCTAACCATTCGTCCGGCGAGGTGCAACTGTGAGGACTAATGGTTGCCTGATTAGGTGTAAATGTGGGGATTAACGATTGCCCTATAAGGTGCAAATGTGAGGACTAAATGTTAGTCCTTTGAGGTAAATTGTAAGACTAATGGTTACTCACTAAGGTGTAAATGTGATTGATTGATAATTGATTGATATGTAGGGTTTAACGTCCCAAACCATCATTTGATTATGAGAGACGCCGTAGTGGAGGGCTCCGGAAATTTCGACCCCCTGGGGTTCTTTAACGTGTACCCAAATCTGAGCACACGGGCCTACAACATTTCCGCCTCCATCGGAAATGCAGCCGCCGCAGCCGGGATTTGAACCCGCGACCTGCGGGTCAGCAGCCGAGTAAAGGTGTAAATGTGAGGACTAAATGTTGGTCCCTTGAGCTCGTCTGAGGAGACTAACTGTAAGACCCGGTGCCGTTAGTCCTTAAAGAGACTGATGATTGTGGCAGCCCCAAAAAGACAAACCACACACCCTTTTAAGACCCTTTTGCATTAGAGTGTATGGTGTTCGGCTGCTGACACAATTGTCACGGGTTCGATACGACGACCTCATTTTGATGGGAACCAAATGCTAAAGCCCGTTCACTGTGCTACGTCAGTGCACAATGAAGAACATCAATGGTCAAAACCATGATATGATAATCAGGGATGATCTATAGCATCCCTGATCATCATATCGTGGTTTCGGCATGTGAAACCTCCAATATTATTATCTAAGAACGTAGCATAACTCCGTTCCCAGAATGGTCAGGATAACCATCAGCGAAACGACCGGAGAGAGCTACAAAAGGCGGGACGATGGAAGTGTGTATACGGCTAATCTGACGAAGTTTTTCAGGGAATGTAACCAGCCAACACGTGTGCTATGAAAATGTTTCAGCGTCCGATGTCAAGGGATAAAAAACAAACTCCACCTCCACTTGCTCGTACCCAGGCGGACGCTCATGGTTGCATTTGTCCGACGACAACAGCGACGACCCCATGGCCTCGTAGGCGAAGAACGCTGTAATTCTGTAAAAAGCACGATTTTCCTGAGGGCTTCTGTACAACATTTCCGAAAAGGTGCTTAAAATCAAAGATAAGTTATGCATGCAGATAGTGTCTATTATTGCGTTAGAGTCGGTGCCAAAAAGTTGAGGCATGCACTGTTGGGAAGGGTAGCGGATGGCACATGTGCTTGAAAACGTCACCGCTTTGTTACTCTAGGCGAATTTGTGTTGTTACACTGAGGTTTTCTTCCTACTGGCGGCACTTTTTTAAATGTTCATTTGAGATTTTGGTGTCCATACTCCTTTGAAGTACAGACATGCACTTTATAAATTGTCGTATACCGGGGCTCTAAATGTTGCTCTAAACACACACACACACACACACACACCCACACTCTGAGAATACCTTTAATCCAGCCACCCCAAAAAAAGCCCTTTCGGTTTTCATATTGAGGAGGTGATTTCACGGTGACGAGAGAACACAGCCTGTAGTAGGTCTAAGCCACGTTACGCCCGCTATTTATGTCGTACAAACAGTGATTATGCCATCTGCTATCAGTCACATACCTGCGATCAGTTGAACAATTACGTTATATGAAGCTACCAAAGAAATAAAGTAACCGTTCATGAAACTAGAATTAGTGCCTTCGTCTCCACGTGAAAATTTACATTTAAGCGCACATTGAGACTTGTTTAAAAATTCAGCAGAGCTGCCGTGGCTTCAAATAATTTCACTAAATGTAGAACTTCTCATATGCTCTGACTGAGTGCAGGTAAGTAACACAATTCACTTTTTGATAATTTGCAAAAAAAATACACAACTGATTCACCATTTTTATATATAGCAAATAAACCAGCTAGGACGTAACGTTAATGCATTCACCTTAATAAAACTTACCACGTGCAGATGACGCACAGCCTTCTCCTGGTTTATGCCACATACGCGTTGAAAACGAAAGGGCCTGCCCGGGGAGAAAGATGAAAGCTGAGCGAGGAAATGGAAATTTCAGAACTGTAATGAGCGTAGTGAGGCAATTGAGCTTGCTGTTAGTCCCACCACAATTCGCAGAAAAAAAATCTTAACTCTCTTCGGTACTATAAGTGCTGTCGTTCTTGTTAGTAAAAAAAGATGAAAAAGTAATAGTAATAATGCTAATAATGCAACATCAACGTTCCAGGCAAACTCACCTGCTGGCAGAATAAATTTCTCAACGAAGACCGCTCAATGGACTACGCTGCTCCTGCTGCTTACGTGACCACGCATTTTTAAAAGCCGTGAGATTGCCACACAATTCCCACCATATTGTGGTAATGCGGAAAAAATAAAAAAAAACTACAGCAACTTTGAGAAAATATGATACAAACACGCACCCTGTAAAGTTTTATTCGTTTTTCAAAGCCCACTAAAAAGAACAAAGACGAAAGGAAAAGTTTTTGGCTTTTTTTTCTGCGCGTATCTTAGCATTCAAGATGTGTAACTTTACATTTCCACAAGAAAGCTTGCATTCGACTGCAAGCATAAAGTTAATCATGAAAAGCGTATTTTAGACTTCTTACTTTTCAGTGTCTGGATTTGTTTCTTGTAATAAAGAGCTGCAGCTTTAATAGACCCCACATATCCACTGTAGCAATTTCGCCTTCGCCAGTAACGTATGGTTCGTGTGTACCTTAAAAGCAGGCACAGGTAAAAAAAAACAAAGGAATGATGTAGCAAGATTTAACGTTTGCTTTATGAGATTTAAAGAAAGAAAAAAATGCGAGATATTCTGAAATTACGCATACACGTGTGGTGCACGTAAAATAAACAAAAAATGACATGCTTGTGGAATTGCGTAACTATTGTCAGCATGACCTCATTTGGCAAAGTATCGTAGTTTGAAAGACGCCGGCTCTTCTTCCTTTTTTTTTTTTCTGACGTCAAATGCTAACAAGGCAGACTCGGTGAATTCTCATGAAATTGCCTAAACCTTTGTGCGTTACTATTTCGTATATTGCTCTTTCGCTATCAATGTTATTGTATTTCTCTCCCCATCGCTATGAAAGGTATGCCATATACTGGTAAGAATGGCCTGCCAATTGTAAGCAGGACCGAAACGCTGAAAAAAAAACAATAAACTAGAGGCCCTCGTGCTGGTTTGTTGTGCCAGTCTGTCCCTCCTTTCTATGATTCAGTAGAGGTCGCATCGCTACCACAGTCAGCGTGTAGTCGTTATCTAGATACTGATCTCTGGCCGCTTGTCCGTGCTACCAGCTCACTGGGTCATAACTCCACTGTCATCATGTGGCGAAGGAAAATATTATCTTACCTACTACTGCCGCCATTGATTTTGGAGGGAAAGGGGGAGGGGAGTAGGGAAAGTCATTTTTTTTTTTTTGCAGAGGGCGTTACAGATTGTTTCAATAAATTCAAGTATGTTAATGCAGTCATTACCCTAAACTCACGCGCACATTTACGCACGCATCTGCATTTATTTATTTTAATTATTTATTTACTATACTGCTACTCTTTTTCGAGAGCGTACCAGTTGGGCAACACAATAATTGTTGGGCAGTACAATATCTATGTATAGGCATGCGAAAGGTAATTTTTTATGACAAATACAAAGTGACTGGTGCCAGAAGCGAATCAAATGAACATTAGGAACATTTACTATTAATTTTAAATAATGAATGGCCGTCAACTCAATTAGGAAATTAAAAACTATGTTCAGTGTACAATAGAGATAGTGTTCAACAGCTCTTGAAGGAATAAAGAAGAGCTGTGATGGTTGTATAAAGATGGAGTATAGGAGCGCGAACACATGCAGAAAAAGACAGAAAACACATGTTGCCTCTGTTTTTGTTGTTTTTTTTTGTGGTAAAATTTATCTGAATACTCTAAGCGCACTTGTGCCGTCTGTGTCAGTGCCGCCGTGAGGTTTCGCATAAAGTCAAAGAGCAATAATATTTCTTCACATACTTTATTTATTTATTTATTTCAAATATTCTACATGGCCACATGGGCATTGAGTAAGGGAAGCGTTATAAAAATTTCCGAGCATACACCAAACGTATAAACCAATTTACATAAAGAAGCAAAATTTCTAATGCAAGACAAGCGAAATTTCTGTATACTAGCGACAGTGAGCGTCGGTAACCTACGTAAGCTCGTGTCACGCTTTCGGGGAAGGGGAGAAGGAGGGGGTATAAATGATTCTGGGGCACTTGGCTTTTAACAGAGAGGCTGATTAGAAAGTCGTTCCTTGCGAGTTTATCGCAGGAAACTGTCACCATCTTAACGGCTATGTGTCAATGAGTGGCAAACCTATCATCATCGTAAAGGGTACGTGCCTCAAGAATTGGGAAAATCGCACTTCGCACCAGGGGTCTAATAAAAATGAACGCAGCAACAGTTAGTTCAATAAATGCTGCGAAGCGACGGTGGTGAGTCCAAGACCCCGAGTGCGTATACAACGAGAGAATGTACAAGGGAACTAGAAAGAGCGGCGGCTGCGAAAACACTGCGAATTGACGGAAGGCCTATAGGCCAATAACGACGTGCCCGTAGATCTATGGCAGGTGCGAATGTTCGGTTTTAGCGCAAGGTTGGACACCTGTGTCGTACTCGTGACTGTCTGTGATTTAACTCGAATCTCTCTGCGCTAAGTATCATCGTAGAAAAAAGCAAGCACCACGTAGCCAACCAAGGCCTAGAAACAACCTATACTCAACGAAATCAGTCATCGGAATCGTCCAGTATTAGTGTTACAAGCATTTCGCAGCTTAGTGCTAGCTTCGTCAACTTCTTTCCTCCGTTTGTTAGCGCTCATATTTAATGATACTGTTGAATTTCGCTCTGTAAGCTCTTCGTTTTATTAGAACATTACGAACACAATAAGTAGCTAGTTTGCCCACACAAAGCTCTATGCACTGTTGGCACTAATAATAGCCCAGAGGCCAAAGAGTACAACTACACGTGCGCTATCATCTTCCTTTGTTGTGTCTCATTCTTTTGTGCTCAAATCTATTCCAGAACGCATGAATTTCTCCAATGAAGCATTCTCTTGAAAATAATAGCTAATATAGTAAGACTTTTACATCAATGCCGCATATGCTATTTCTTTTTATTTCGTGTGGGATTATATATCTCCGCCATTTTATGGAAAATTTTTCTTTTACTGTAGCAGTCAATGCAATGGTCTGAAATACTAAACTAGTCTGTCAAATATATATATATATATATATATATATATATATATATATATATATATATATATATATATATATATATATATATATATATATATATATATATATATATATATAGACCACGCAGCTGAAATTATTTTCATTGTTATCAAAAATAAATAATTCAGATGAACTTCCAGGCCTTTCATTTATTGCCGAGAGTATTCAGCAACGCGCTCACAATTTTTCACTATAAATAGTTGTGCTTTTATTCCGGACTTGTTTGCCGCGGTGTTGTAGCAGCTAAGGTGCTCGGCTGTTCTGGGTTTAATCCCAGCCGCAGCCATCGAACTTCGATGAAAATGAAATGGAAGAGACTCGTGTGTACAGTGCAATGCGCTGCAGTGCACGTTAAAGATCCCCAGATGGTCGAAATTTTCTGAGCCTTCCGCTACGGTATCGCTCATAATCATACCATAAATTTGGGACGTGAAACTTCAGATATCAGAATTAATAATATTTTATTCCGAAGAGCATACACACACACACATGTGAATTCTGTAAAAAGTACGATTTTCCTGAGGGCTTGTGTACAACATTTCCGAAAAGATGCTTCAAATCAAGGATAAATTTTGCATGCAGATAGTATCTATTATTCGTGTGTGCTCTGCCAGTAAATCAGGGGCTGAATTCACAAAGCTTTCTCTTTGGCTACGTATTTTCTTAGCCAAAAGTTCTCTTATCTGGAGGGATTACTATAGCGCGGGTATGAATTTAACTTATTCGGCACTTAAGAGGGCAAGGAGGACACATGATCGCCGATGAAACGACAAGGAAAGAAAGAAGTGTGTGCCGATAATATCAAGGTAGCACGCAAAGCGTCTAGCATCGAGAGTATACGATGATAGCCAATGATTTGCTGCATCTAAGTTTCAGTTCCGCGAGCGTCTGCTACAGCGCTTACGGGATGCCGCGTACGCTGTAATAGACGTTTTGGTGGGCTGTGCAAAGCCAAGCACTCGCCTTTAATTAACGACTGTAGCTAAAAAAAATAATTGCTCGATGGCCTTAAGCCACCGAGCAATCCATGCACTATCTCGCCAAGTACAAGTAAACAACACTCCAGGTGTACCACATAAATGAAACCACACATAAATCGATGCATGCAATGTTTGAAAATGTGCCTCCAATGTCTTCCCCTATTTAACGCGACCAGTTACCTTACATTCCATTGAAGCTGCGCTGCTACTTAACTATTTCGGTGCAATCTAGCACGGTATTGTGGTGAACGTAAGGGTGTTTTGTACCTATAGTCAAAGGTAGCCTTTGTTACAATATTCTTATTACAAGACACACGAGCGACTTTGGTGTTTGCAGACGAATTGTGCGGAAATAGATAACAGCAGTAATCAAATGAAATTGTGAGCGCAATTTCGCTGGTTCCATGCACCGCAGCATTTTTATAAAGCCGGAATGCGAGAACGTGCATACGCTTACGCTTACGTATATGTCTACGTAAAATGAGGGAGACTCGTTGGGAGGTGTCTCAGTGCTAATGCTTTTCACAAAACACGGTGCAAATATTTCGTCCAGCGTTGTTTGAGTGCGCAAACAAAGCAAGGGACGTGTATACGAGTCTTGAGGTCGAGAGACGTTATCACACGTGCGAAAAGGATAAAAAGAGAGAGAGAGAGACTCTCGTTTCGGCTTCGCAAAAGCTTGAAATTGATAGATAATAAAGACAATTTTCTGGCTCAGCAGACGTCAGGGAAAGTCTCCGAAAAGCAGCGTCAGATGCTCGGAAAGCATAAGAAAGTGAAGTACGCGTTATATGGGAGTGACAGCCACGCAGAAAGCGAGATGAAGTGTGACTGTCCTTAGATGTGAGAATCAATGCTAATTAGGAGAGTTGAGTTAATGAGCCAAAACTTTCCTAGATAACGATAATGGAAGCAAACTGAGCATTCATCTAGTGAAAGTGACACTAGTGACAGTGAACTCATAATAGTGGATTAGCGTTGTCACAGGCCGATATGTATTTTTATTTTTTTATTTATATTT